CCTTTCCATCTCTGTCCCTTGGATGTCTCCTACCCAGCTAAGAGCCCGCTTTTTCTCATGAGAGTGCTATTCAAAGATTCATAAAATACACTGATACTCTTTTTTAGGTAATGTGAAAATACATATATATACACATATATATAAACACATATATATAATGTATGTATAAGGAGTGACTGCTAATACAAGATTTCTTTTTGCAGAGATGAAAATGTTCTGGAATGATAATGGTGATAGCTGTACCACTCCATGAATATACTAAAACCACTGACACATATACTTTAAAGGGGTGAATTTTGTTATATGAATCATATCTCAATTTTTTTTTTTAAGGTAAGACTCTCCAACCCCACCCCTGTATTTACATTTGGCACTGGGAAGGAAAACTTGTAATTTTTCAGATAAGACCCTTTTCTCACATACTTCTTGGAGAACACACTTAATTATCCTCTTTACACAATTAAGTGCCTATCACAAATCGGGCACCAACACAGGAGCTGGAGAGATGGTCACCAGACCAACACAGAGCCTGTTCTACTGAAGCATGGAGAGGGGAAGACAACAAATTATCCAATTCTAGGAAGAAAAAGTATAAGAATAACCTAATCAGGGTAGGAGGGTTGGGGTGGAAAGGATCCCCCAAAAAAGAGCACATCTAAGAGGCATACACATGCCTCAGCCCACATAAGGTAGTTACTCCTCAACAACTAGTTAGAGGTGACTTGCAGTAAAACAAAACTCCTAGGTCACAAGAATTTGGATGGCATGCAATTAGTAACTGACTCCCATCTACCACAGGAGGCTCACATGTCCACTGCACTGGCCTTGAAGTAAAGTGGCCCTGTATAAGCATATTAATGTTTTACCTACTGACAGTGTTAGTATGGTAATGTTTTAATGTACTCACAAATATCTGTGCTTATTATTCATATATCAGGGCAAATACAAAAAGAAAATTAAGTTACGCTGAAAAACTGTATACATTTAAGTCTGTTTATTGATGACTGCACAGAAGGCACAGCACTTGTACAAAATGAAAAATATAAAATAAAAAGCTTAACTTTCAGCTCAAAGTATTATAAATAAATACACAAACTGTTTATTGAAAACAGTAAGCTCGTATCTTTAACTACCTGAAAACCCTCATATGAGGTCAGCTAACCAGAGCCTATGGGTCAAATCTGGCCCACCATCTGTTTTATAAATAAGTTCTACTGGAACACAGCCACACCCATTTGTTTATATGTTACCTATAGCCGCTTTCCCAACACAACTGTAGAACTGAATAATGTTAACAGAGACCTTATAACCAGTAAAGTCTAAAATATTTACTATTTGAATCACTTCTCGGCCTTTTAGCTAAGATCAAGTGTAAAATATTTACTACTTGACCCTTTACAAGAAAAAAAAAAAAAACTGCAAACATGTACTAAATAGAAGTACTTCAAGTTGATTCAGAACAAAGAAGTATTATACATCCTTTACCAATGAAGCATCCCAGTGGATAAACAACAAACTCAAAACGCAAAGAATTCTAACTCTAATTTATTAGTCAATCCGCCGTGGAGCTTTAGGTAAATCGTAATTAGTCTGTGTTTTATATACCAGTAAAATTCAGAGCACCTGATTCGGAGTTTCATTTAAGTGCTCAGGACCACTGAAGCCAGGGCTGGGAAAGGTGTCTGTATTAATTATCTTTTGCTGTCTAACAAATTCCCCCAAAAGGTGGTAGCTTAAAATAAGTATTTAGTATCTCCTGAGTCTTCAGGACTTTGGAGTTGGTTAGGACTGCAATCTTTTAAAACCCCTCGGGAGCTGGAGGATCTGCTTCTAAGGTGGCTTACTCAGAAGCTTGGCAAACTGGTACTGACAGCTTCCCCCAAAGTGAATAATCCATGAGAAAGAGCAAGGCAGATACTATACTCCCTTTATGACTTTGCTTCCCTTTGAAAGTAGGTAACATCATTTCTACCATATTTTATTCTTTACAGAAGTGAGAGTCTTTAAGTCCAACATACATTCAAGAGGATCAAAGTCAGGCTCCACTTTAAGGGAGGGGTGTCAAAGAATCTGCAAACATATTAATGCCACTACAGGGTTTCAAATGATGAGTAAACAGCTTCAACAACATAACCAACAAGGTCTGGCTGATTAAAGAATATGCACTTAACCATTTTCATAACATGTACTTTGTTCTATTTATGAGTGGAGAGAGGTTTCATCACTGCTTAAGATTCTCCAAAAAAAAAAAAAAAAAAAAAAAAAAGTAAGGCACTTCAGCTTTTCATATCTGATGCAGTAATGATGATGGGAGGCAGTTATATTTTTGTTTTAGCTTTTTTTTCCCAAGGAGAAAAGGCAAGGAGAGAAGGCAAATTATGGTGAATAGATCATGATCATAAATAATTGCAAAGTTGGACTAGGACAGACAAGTACTTATGATTCAGAGCCACATAAAAGATTTTCTCGGATATAAATAAAAAAAAGAAAACAGAAATTCAGATATGCATTCAAAACCGTGGGGATGGTTGGGGTGAGGGAGGTGCGTGTATTATACCATGATTGCTACAAATCTGCATCACAGAAACTTCTGAAACAAGGAACATTATACAGAGTTAAACTAAAAGTTACCTATAAAAATTAAACATATTTTCAAAATAAATGTCTTAGTTACTAGACTTAAGGAACATTTGGTGAAATTCATCACATTCTATTATTTTGAGGCAAAAGGCCTGGGAGCAGACTTCCTCAGAGGAAAATGAAGTGAGAGCCATTCTGATTTCCTTAACAAGAAGCTCAAAAATTGGGGCACCTGGGTGGCTCAGGGGGTTAAAGCCTCTGCCTTCAGCTCAGGTCATGATCCCAGGTTCCTGGCATCGAGCCCCGCATCGATCTCTGCTGAGCAGAGAGCCTGCTTCAGAGATCACAATTAGGGAGACAGGCAGGCAGAGAGAGAGGAAGGGAAGCAGGCTTGCTCTCTCTCTCTCTCTCTCCTCTCTCTCTGCCTGCCTGTCTCCCTAATTGTGATCGCCCTCTCTCTGTCAAATATATCAATAAAATTAAAAAAAAAAAAAAAAAAAAGCTCAAAAATTGTCCTGAACTAGACAATTTAACTGCTTTATAAGTTCATTCAAAGCCCACTCTGATGGGCTAAATAATGTCCCCCCCAAAACTCATACCCCCCCAGAACATACAAATGTGGCCTTATTTGTAAATAGGGTCTTTGCAGACATAATCAAGTAAAGATGAGGTCATACTAGATTTGGGAGAACCCTAATTCAAAGCTTGATATCCTTATAAGAGGAAACTTTGTACAAAGAGAAACAGGGAGAATGCCATGTGACAAGACAATGAAGGAAGAGACTGGAGTAACAAGTCGACAAACCAAGGAATGCCAATGATTGCTGGCAAACACAAAAAGCTAGGAGAGAACATTCAACAGATTCTTCCACTGAGTCCCCAAGAAAGAATTATCCCTGTTAACACCCTGATTTCGTTATCTGGCCTCTGGAGTTGTGAGAGAGTAAATTTCTGTTGTTCTAAGCCACCAAGTTTATAGTAATTTACATTACAGCCCTAGATAACAATTACATACACCCATATTACAGTTAGTAATATGGAATTTAAATGCCATCATTTATAATACTAGAAACATTTATCTTTAGCCTGAAAATTTAGAAAAATATTTACCAATCAAGGTTCTTAGTTCACAAATTCAGAACAATTAGAGACAGCACTGTCCCATTTAATGCACTGTCCCTTTCTTGGGTACTGTCACAGGGATGAATGAGACATAAGACTCCACCGGACTGGGTGCCTGGGTGGCTCAGTGGGTTAAGCCGCTGCCTTCAGCTCAGGTCATGATCTCAGGGTCCTGGGATCAAGTCCCACATTGGGCTCTCTGCTCAGCAGGGAGTCTACTTCCCCACTCTCTCTCTGCCTGCCTCTCTGCTTGTGATCTCTGTCTCTGTCAAATAAATAAATAAAATCTTAAAAAAAAAAAAAAAAGACTCCAATAGACTACACACACTACTATCAGCCATCAGAGATCCAGTGAGATTCTCCCAAAAGTCAGTAAAGCAACTGTACAGAACAGGAGCTCAGTTCACCTTAGTTGATACTCAACAGCTTCACAAAAAGCTGTCTTTATTTAAGTCCTCTTGCTGAACCAGAAGTTTAACACAAAACTATAAGTTTTAAGAATTTAATGTTCCATATGTAAAGTCTTATCACACTTGTAGCATCAAAAAAACAAGTTTTTCTAATCAGCACTATACCAAGCTGTGGGTTACAATTCCACCCTTTATTAATTCTGAGTTTCCCAAAAACAGGATTCCTTTAAGCCCAGATTTATTTTTATTTCAAACTCAAACCACTTCAAGTACGCATGGCTAATTTACCATACCAGCCTGACAGAATGGCTAGACATTTTTCCATTTTATCACCCCTGTATCTTCAGCATGAACTACAAAGAGGTATTACAAAGGATGAAAGGTAAACTTCTGCCCCATTTATTTCCTATTCAACTGTTGTTGGAACATTTCTAAGACTCACCTCCTTTTTTTTTTTTTTTTTTAAAGATTTTATTTATTCATTTGACAGAGAGAGAGATAGCAAGAGAGGGAACACAGGGGGGTGGGGAGAGGGAGAAGCAGGCTTCCCGATGCAGGGCTCAATCGCAGGACCCTGAGATAGTGATCTGAGCAGAAGGCAGACGCTTAATGACTGAGCCAACCAGGAGCCCCTAAGACTCAACTCTTATTTAGGGTATCCAAGAAAAGTGCATTCAGATTCTCCAAATAAAGTGTTTCTATATTTCTTAGTGCCTCTCCTGATTAAAAGTGAAGCCTGATTAAAACTTAATCCATCTCTAACAAATGAGTATTTTAATTACTGAGCAACTGGCAAGCATGAGAATATTGGCCATAAAAAGTTACCTGCAAGGATTAATCTTCTAGAAAAGCCTGCCTCTCTCTATATAAGAAGCAGCATTGACCTACCTTGTTTTCGAACATCTTCTACTGCAGCCACAAGCTCTTCTTTGAGAAACTGACTCTCCTTTGCAATTTTATCCCCCTTCTCCAAAAAATTCTCAGTTGCTTGTTCAACAGAAGCAGCCAAAACATGGGCCTTCTTGGAACGGCCTCTCTTCTTATTTGAGGGCCCCTTACTATTGGTGTTTACCAGAGTTGTGACCTAAAAGTTTCATTTTTACAAATTAAACTGCAGTCAATTAAAATGAAAACAACAGAAAGATCACCATCTTTAAAGACAGGAATAGTAAATTATTCATAATTAAATGAAATAGCACATTTATAAATTCCACAAGCATTAACAAATAACACACACTCTCCATTTTTAAGAAATATAGCAACAATACTCAATTTAGGTCCCAAAATAATTTTGCTATCTCAATGTGCAAAACAAAAAATATTTTAATTTTTTCAAACATGTGTTAACTAGATTTTAGTTCCGTTTTACAAATCAAAAACTGGTTAGAATGTTACACATCTGTACATGTCATGAACAAGTCCCAGAAAGAGACTGACAATGAACTTGTTAGCTTTATGTGGAGGTCAAGTTTTCCACTGTTTTCAACCAGTGTAAAGTATTTTAAAGTAACTGTTTCTGATTTTGTTTCACAGTTTATTCAAACAAATCTCAGCAATGAATTAGTAAAGTCCTTAACAAAAAAAGGAAAGGCTGCCCAAAGGAGCCTATTGTGATGGTGCTTTAAGTCCCAGAACATCAACCACCATTTACATATATATACATATATATATATAAATAAAATACCAGGTGATCTGTAGGTTGACAGTGACTACAGATTTTTTTATTAGCATAGCTTGCCACACAAAACACCTGCTTAGAACTATACTGGATGGGCTTCAAGAAAGTAAATGTTCATGAGTCTTACTTATTACACACTTCTACATTATATTAAAATATATAAATATATTTGTATGCATGTACACATTTGCATATATGTATTTGTGATACTCGTTGTTAACAATTAATGAGATGGCATCACACTGTGGTATCTGCAACAGAACACAGCAAACCTATATCCTCAAATTGCCTGCTAATTGATCCTGGACAAGGAAGTCTGTTAAGCATGGTAAAGAGACAAGAGTCAAAGCTTCATAGCCCATCTTTCTTGTCTATAACCTGTACCTTCCAAGAAAAAGTGATGCCAAGAAACCATCTACAAAATACAAATACTTGGTAAGCTGCATTACATACCACTTATCCCCTATTATTGCCAATAAGACTCGAGAAAATGGCAGTAACTATGTTCCCATAGGGTTAAATGAATGCATGTATCATTATTTAAATAATTAGTGGTGCCACATCCTCTAAATACTATCAACCTAAACTCAACTACTCAAATTAAAGCTTTGAGCTAAACTTGCTCTGTTTGTTTACCATGCCTACTACTATGGAACCATATGACAGCTACATATTTGCAGATTCTTACCTGTGTAACAAGAGGCTCCAACAGTCTTTCAACTGCCAGAGTCCTGATCTCTAGACTTTTGGGGTCCCACTTAAAGTTTATGTTGCCTGTGTGGACAGAAGTCATTTCTGAAAAAGAAACAAAAGGTCAATGTGAGGCAAACATCAAACACAAACAAGAAATAAATAATAAATCTTCTACTTCTAAAAAAGAACTTTTTATATCAGCAAAACTTAATTCCAGATGGGAAAAAAATTCTCAAGGGCCTGCACAAGAGGGCCTGGTAACTCTTAACCTCTTACACTTTCAAATGTCAAGCTTGTGAACAGTAGAGGTACTACAAGAGGAACTCTGAAACACACAGAGCTCTTTCCCTTTGGCTTCTCTGGCACCAAGACATTTCTACTTTGATTTTCCATACCAATTTAGAAGCAGGATGAAAAGCTAACGTGAATGAAGGCCTGATTCTGATTTTCCTTACTCCGTAATATTTATAGTACAGTATTACCTAAAAGGCATTAACTCCTTTTTTGATGACTTCTTAGAGAATATATTCTTACTCTATTAAAACATAATGCTTAAGTCTGCTGCCCTCTGCATCTACAACTATTATCACTCACAGCCAGAAAAATTTCAAGTCACGCTTAGTCAAGTATCAATGTATCATTGTCAAGGTAAACTTCCATTAGACAGAGGCTTTAAGACTAGGGGAAAAGACTTCAACAAAAACACCAAACAGCATTTGCTTCTAAAAGTAGTGCCTAAAAGATTAAAGGGGAAAAAAAAAGACAGGAGGTACATAACTGAAGTAAACACTAACTATAAACTTTCTAGACAACCAACTTGGTATTTAAAATCTTAAAAGAATATGTTCTTATGACCCAGAGATTCTACTTCTGGAAATTTATTCTAAAGGAATAATCAAGGTGCATATAAAAACTTGGATACAACGATGTTCACAACAGCAAAAACAAAAACAAAAACATATATCACAAATAAATCACATAACCAACCACATAATACTGTGTCACACTTAAAAAACAATGTTTACAAAATTTAGGAAAATAAAAAAAAAAAAACAAACAAACAAACAAGTGTTCTTGGAGCATCTGGGTAGCTCAGTGATTTAAGCCTCTGCCTTCATGGTCATGGTCTCAGGGTCCTGGGATGAAGCCCCGTGTCAGGCCGCTCTCGCTCAGCAGGGAGCCTGCTTCCCTCTCCCTCTCTCTGCCTGCCTCTCTGCCTACTTGTGATTTCTGTCTGTCAAATAAATAAATAAAATCTTAAAAAACAAAACAAAACAGTACTCTCACTGTCCAGGTCTTTATTTCTATTAAATGCCAATTCCCATTAAAGAGAATCAGGGCTCCTCCAAAGGTGGGGGGGGGGTTCCTTTCAGGTCTGAGATACCCTATCCTGCAGAAAGCAAAGAAGGGTACAAAGACTAATCTAACAAAACAGAGAGGAACCAAAGGCTCCACTGGCCAATTTAAAAATTCAGGCGCCTGGGTGGTTCAGTTGGTTGGGCGACTGCCTTTAGCTCAGGTCATGATCCCAGGGTCCTGGGATCGAGTCCCGCATTGGGCTCCCTGCTCAGTGGCAAGCCTGCTTCTCCCTCTCCCCTCTGCCTGCCTCTCTGCCTACTTGCGCTCTCTGTCAAATAAATAAATAAAAATTTAAAAAAAAAGAAAACCTGAGTATCAAAAAACATGACTATAACTGCCTGACAGGTAAGTACACAGAAAGATACCCTATGACCATAGAGATTCTCAAAATAAAAAGGGAATTCGTTTACCATGGATATATTAACAGAATTAGAAAATGACCATTTTGCAAACTCCAGTGTAGTAACTGATTCAGCAACGATATCAATGGATGTTAATACCATTAAGTGAAAGGCTACTGGGGAACAAGATATTTCTAAGGTGCCCAAGTATCACTTCACGAGTTACTTACTAATTACACAGGCCAAGACATACCTTTACAAATTTGCAATCTAATGGCCACCCACTTAAACAGATAAATTTAACATCACCAATGACACACCTGATATTATATGCCTCCCAATATTAAGAGTATTAAGTACTCTTGATTAATTAAAAAAAAAAAAACTTTAAAAGGTTTGCAAGAGGGACACCTGGGTGGCTCAGTCAGTTAAGCGTCTGCCTTCAGCTCAGGTCATGATCCTGGGGTCCTGGGATTGAGCCCAGCAGCGGGCCCCCTGCTCAACATGAGTCTGCTTCTCTTCCTCTCCCTCTGCTCCAACACCCCCCCATCTCGTGTGTGTGCACGCACACACTTGCACTTGCGCACACTCTCTCTAAATAAACCTTTAAAAAAAAAAAGAATAAAAGGTTTTCAAGAGCCTCGGTGTTACTATAAAATGAGTAGTCGTGCAACAGCAAAAATAAATGTTTAACTAGAGTAAATGGAGTCTACTGAAGCCTCTATGTAGGGATTCAAAACCTTTTTCAATGCCATAGAGCTTTTTGGCAGTCTAGTAAAGCCTAAACACCAATGTCTGTCCAACAGAAATACAGTGTAAGCCACCTATGAAATTTTTTTAATAACATTAAAAAGAAATGGATGACTGTACACAATATATCCAAAAAGTATTTTGCCATGTAAACATTTCTTAAATTATTAGAGGTATTTCACATAAGTATTAAGTGTCCAAATCTGGGATTTGCTTTATACTCAGGGCACATTTAAAGTCAAAGATGTCACATTTCACCTGTTCAAGAGCCACTTGTAGCTAGTAGCTTCTGTACTGAACAGGCAGCTATAAGACCCTTTCCAATATTGTTTTTCAAATGCATACAACACAATTCAAAAGATTACAAAGGAAACACATATACTGATATTTAGTTGTCAAGATACTTTACAAATAGATGACACAGTAACATATGTGCTTCTTTATTAATATTAAATAAGACTTAGCAAGAAGTCTGACAACTACTTCAAAGTAACAATGAACATGCACATTTTTCAAGGTAACGTTGTAATTATTGCAGATATGAAAAACACTGAGATTCCTACTGGTGACAAAGGTACAGGTTCAACTGAAAACTGTAGTTTGTTATCTACAATAATAGAAATGCTAAATTCCTGTTAATAGTGAAAACAAAGACAAAATTTTTCTAATCCAAATTCACCACAGTTTTAAAAACTTGGCCTAGGGATGCCTGAGTGGCTCAGTTGGTTAATTAAGCACCTGCCTTCAGCTCAGGTCATGATCCCACCTGGGATCGTCTGGCTCCCTGCTCTGCTCCCTGCTCTGCTTCCTGCTCTGTGGGAGCCTCCTTCTCCTTCTCCCTGCCACTCCCCCTGCTTGTACTCTCTCTCTCTGTGTCAAATAAATAAAATGTTTAAAAAATTTTTTTAAAAATAATAAAATAAAAAACTGGCCTAGGTTCAATGTCAACCTTATAGGGGATACAGAAGCATGGTAAGCAACACCATGGGAAAACAAACAAATCCAGAATGGAGGGTACCTTACAAGATAACAGGGCTTCAATTCTTCAGAAAGTCAGAGTTTTGGGGGAGAGGGTAGCAAGACTATTCTAGACTGAAACACTCAAGAGACATAAGAAATCTAATGCAATACATGTACCATATTTAGACAACAGCTTGAGACAAGCAGCTATTAAGACATTTGTAAGGAAGAGTGCCTGCATGGCTACGTTGGTAAGCAACTGCCTTTGGCTCAGGTCAAGATCTCAGGGTCCTGGATCGAGTCCCCACATCGGGCTCCCTGCTCAGCAGGGAGTCTCCTTCTCCCTCTGACTCTTCTCATTCTCTCTCTCAAATAAATAAAATCTTAAAAAAAAAAGACATATCTAAGGAAATTGGTCTTCAATACTTATTAAATATTAAATGTTATTACATAATTACTGCTCAATTTCATAGGTGTGATAATGAAATTGTGACTATGTAGAAAAAAATGACAATTTCTAGGAGATGCATGCTGAAATATTTAGGGGTAAAATGTAAAGATTTCTGCAACTTTCCAATAGTTCAGCAAAAAAAATATACACATATACAGATCAAGGAATTATGAAAAAATACTCATAACTATTAAGTATAGGTAGAGGACATGTCGACGGGTGTTCTCAGATTTATTCTTTTACCTTCTTTGTATACCTGAAATTTCTCATCTAATAAAATGGGGAAGATGTTACAGAAGCTTATGAGAAAATGTTCCAAATATACTACTGAAGATGCTAAAGAGATTTCAAAACAATATAAAGTATGACTTCAGGGAGGAATAAAGATATCTAAATGCATAAACCAAAATATTAACAATAGTGTTATTTCTAAAGTGTGGATTATGGGTAGTTTAAACATCCTTTTTGCTTAACTGTATTTTCTGGTATTATAAAAATCATACAGGTAGTTAGAAAAAGTTACTTTTGTAATTAAAAAAGCAGAATCTTCATTTTATAATCTTTACATCTTTATACGAAGAGGACAATACAATCAAAAGGCAAGTTTGAGGGGCGCCTGGGTGGCTCAGTGGGTTAAAGCCTCTGCCTTCAGCTCAGGTCCTGATCCCAGGGTTCTGGGATAAGGCCCCTCATTGGGGTCTCTGCTTGGCAGGGAGCATGCTTCCCCCTCTCTTTCTCTGCCTGCCTCTCTGCCTACTTGTGATCTCTGTCTGTCAAACAAATAAATAAAATCTTAAAAAAAAAAAAAAAGGCAGGTTTGATCATAACTTAACCACTCTTCCTTACTCATTTATAAAATAAGACAATCATTACCTTCAGAAGGCTTTCCTGAAGATTAAATTAAACAGATTATGATCCACTCAATAAAATGAGAACCCAGGCTAATTAAAATAAAGGAGTTCTTCCATACAACAGGAAAATAATAAATGCAGAGGAATAATGGGTTTAGAAAAATCACCATTTAGAAACCATCATAATAATGGATTCACTCAAGAATCATCCTGAATGATCAGCATCCTGAATGCTAAACCAAGTGGTTGAAAGTTTACAAAGAAAATGATTATTTACATACTCTCATGGTAATTACCAACAGATTATTTACTGTTGGGGGGGTGGGGGGGAGTTAGTTATAGGAACTTCAAAGTGGAAAAACCTTGCAGACACGACTTTAATCAAGTGAT